CAGCTTCCTATCTGCATGAAGCAGCTAATAAGAGGACTGTACATAACTTAGGGGTAATTGCCAGGCCAGGAGGGGTATTGTTGAGCACTTTATAAATGTCAGCTACCAATGCCATTATCAATACACTCTAGATTCTCTTCCCTCTCTGTAAGCATCTCCGTGGCATTTCAGTCCCTCCCTGATTCAATTATGACACCACTGAAAAGTGAAATGTGTTAGTAGGGTCGTGTCTGACTCTTTGTGACACCATGGACTGCAGCCCCCTAGGCTCCTCTGTCCATGGGATTCTCCAGGCAAGGATGCTGGAGTGGGTAGCCATTTCCTTCTCCAGTATTGACTTCTAAAACCATTATCTTTATCAACTGTTATCAACCCTTATCAACTGTTTTCAAGCTCAAGACTAGGCTTCACAAGACAAGCTGGAGGTGCCCTTGGAACCTAAAAGTCAGTCCCCAAACTAGGTCATTCCCTGGCACTGAACAACATCTAACTCTCACTTGACCTCTCCACATCTGTGAAAGTCACTGTCACCTTTTCAGCTCCCCTGGCAGAAGAACTGAGCTTGTTTTTTCCCCCCCTCCCCCAACTATTATACTTCTTTCTCTTTCAGGCAATCAGTTGCCAAGTCATTCATCCACACTTTCATTTACTCAGCAAATATCTTTTGGGCCTTTTCCACAAGCCAGGTACTGTATTCAACTGATGAACAGAACTTAAACAACTGCTGCCCTCATCTGCAAATACATAATCACGTGTTGGCATGTGTACTCACTCAGAAGGGGATTTCAGTCTGGAGGAGAAAGTACAACAGGTCACATAACTTAAGATGAGAGGTAGGAAAGGACTCTGCGAGGAAGTGACAATCTGAACCGAGGCCCGAAAGAGGAGAAGGCTCGGTGAGGTGGGTAATGAGCACAGAGCACTCTTGGCAGCTGGATCAGCAGGTACCATGGCTCGGGTGGGAAGGGCCTGATGCCTTTTCTGAGGAGCTGGGGCAAGGCCACGTGGCCACAAGGCTGTGAACTTGCTCGGGTTGAGGCTGGAGTGGGAGATTCCCAGGGGTGTATGGAACCCCTGGTGGGGGCTGAGCCAAGCGAGGGATGGGGTCAGGTCACTCTGGCTGCGCCGGGGAGAACGGACTGGGTGGACAGGAACAAACTATAGAGACCTGTCCAGGGGCTATTCGGGCAGTTTTGGTGACAGATGGTCAGTGGCTGTGATGATGGAGGGAAGGAGTGTATCTGAGGCACAATTTGGAGGTGGTGCTGATAGAACTCGGTGACTGGGGTGAGGGCAGAATGAGGGTGTGGTGATAAGGCTGGTTCCTGGGTTTCTGGCGCATGCAGCTGTGTAGATGAAAAGTAGTCATGGAATCTATCTTCCAAGCTACTCTGTACTCCTGGATCCGCTCCTAGGACAGTGCTGGCCCATCGCTCCCCTTTCAAGTATCTGCGATGGCTCCTGATCACCCGCTTCAGTAAGCACACACTTCTTCCCTTGGCTTTCAAGGATCCACCACCTACATTTTCAGTCTTTATTTTTTTTAAATTTTCATTTTCTTGGCTGTACCATGGAGCATGTGGGATCTTAGTTCGCTGACCAGGGATCAAGCCCGCACCACTTGCACTGGAAGTGCGGAGTCTTAACCACTAAACCAACAGGGAAGTCCCTTCCAGTCCTATTTTCTACCACTTCTCTACTTAGGTCCTGCTTCAGTCCAACTGGACCACTTCCTGTTCCTGGAATGTGTCACCACACATCCTTGCCTTAGTGCCTACTCCTCACCATCTCAGTCTGCTGAAACCCTATTCGACTTTCAAAGTTCATTAAAGGTCCAGTCGTTAAACCTCCTAAAACTCTGGGAAGCTCTGCCAGCACCTAGAGTGCCGCCTGTTATTGTGGTTACAAAAGTACTTATCGCGAGCCTGTTCCCTGCCCCCAACAGACCACAGGTCATACCTTCGGGTGCCCAGCCCCATTACTCATCCTGTACCACTGCCCACTCTTGTGCAGGGCCAAGCACAGTGCTTCACCCATAACAGGTACATCTTGCTGAATTTATTTGGGACAATTTGTGTTGCTAATTATGCTGAGGAACAAGGAGACCTGAGTTGTTGAACTGGAGATGTTTTCCAGTGGCATCTGCCAGCACCAGAGCTCACAGCAAAATTTACCTTCCACCAAACTCCTGGCAATCAGACGCAAGACAGACACACACATGCCCCTCTTGACAACGTCCTCTGCCTGTTTGAAATTCTCCAGTGCAGCAGTGCTCATAAACCCACCCTTTCCTTGCAGCACCTAATATCAAAAAATTACAGCCTCTAACTCAGGAGTTTTAAAACTGCTTGCTGTAATCCATTAGTGGGTTTTGAAATCAATTTAGTAGGTTAAAAATGATACTAAAAAATAAAATAGAAAATAGCTAAGCACACTACTTATATTCAGGATGAGTAATGTTTCCTGAAACTTCTGTTTCCAATGCAAGTATACATCTGTGTGTTTACTGGGTCATGATGTAAAATGCTATTTCTCACCATGGGCCCCAGTTCAAAAGGTTTGAGGGCTAATGCTGGGTAGATCAAGATCAGCACACAACTCAAACAGGGAAAGATGTTAGGGAACCAGTAATGAGACTATCTAACTAAAACAGTGAGACATTCATATTTTATCCCTTTAAAATGTGAATGTCTGATATACCCAACTCTTCCTTCAGGGGACCTGCATTTCAGTGCTTTTAACCAAAATTAATCTCGTTAGTAGAAAGTGAGTCAGAAATTGTTTCCAGCTACAGGCCTTTCAGTACCTCAGACAAGGATTTCCTCCAGTATCCCAGTTCCCCAGGAGAGGTGGTTCAGGAACTCCATTGCTGAAAGGCTACTGGTTTCTAGGTTACAATACACAGAAGGGATGATACTTTTGTAGGAGAAGCATATTTACAACCAGAAAAATGCACCCTTTCTTCCATGCACTTGTCAATAAGCTCATCAATGTATGTTTCTGTATATGTATGTAACATAAACCTAGAAAATACAATCCTATACATCCATGTGTGAAACTTAGGCCTGATCAATTTGGGGGTCAATGTGAACCCAAATTGACCTAAAAATGAGATATACTATGAGTTACTGAAGGCAATGACACATGTGGGCTAGGAAGGGGGGATGTGGGCCATGGTAGGATGGGCAAAGGGGCTCAGGAGTGTGATGGATGTATTATACCAAGTTTTTATTACCTTGATGCTTGGTGGTAATGAGAGGATGAGGTTAGAGGGGTAGGCTATGGAGAAAACAACTTTCTAGACAGGTGTATGCCCCATGATAGTACACAGTCGTCCACTACAAGTGCGTAGGCTGTATTTGATTATGTCATCACTAAAAAGACAGATTCCAAGCCTAATTCTAGCCGCAGCTCCATTTAACAGGTTGTCCCTTATAATTTGTTGCTCCTTGTGTTACAATCTCCATTTATAGTTGAGACATCAACAGCTGACTTCCTAATGAATGAAATGTAAACACTCTTAATTGTCAATTATAATCCCAACAAATAACTGGGCCTGGAAACAAGGGTGAAGAAGTAGGAAGTTCAAAGCTGGTGTGGTGCAAAGAACCCTAGATTGAAGTACTGATAAATTTGGGTTAGATCTGGGTGACAGCAAGTAACTTCCACAACCTAATGTTCCTGCCACCTCTAAAATTTTGTAATTCTACAAGGGAAGGTAAAGGTGATCTTTATCTGGAAGACAGAAATAGTATCTTGGCTTGATGTGCTATGGGCAAATGACAATGATATTACCCAAGGTTGTTTAAATATGAATTAATGCCTTTCCCATTATCCAGATCGTATTAGCACCCTTTAGGTGATATTACATACCAGCATTTAAGGCTTTCCACATCTGCCCAAATTTATCTCAAATTTCTTGTGATTCAGACCTGTGCCTGCACCCATCCTCCCCCACAAGTCTGGTGTGTTTAATTCTTCACCACCCCTACTCTCCTAGCTAAAGTCCCATAACCTTCATAAAGCCTTCCAACTACTCAAATATTTAATATCAGCTTATGACCTTTGAATTCCTACCAGACTTTATAGCAGTCCTATCAGATAGGCATTATTATGCTCATTTCATCTAAAGGCCCAGAGAAGTTAAGTGGTTTGCCCAGCATCCTAGTTTGTGAGCAGCAGGACTGATTTGTTTGCCCTCCAAGTCCACACACTTTTTTTTTTTTCTTACCGTGCCATGCTGCTTGGCTATTAAAAAAAACCATAGAGGAAGGATGCAGTAAAAAAGCCCATAAACCAGTTACAATAGGGTTTGTTGGGACATAAATGCAAATACACCACATCCTTTGAACCAGGTGTGTAAAACACGCTTGGGGTAGCGTGAATAGTTTTTAAGGGCTTGCCAACCCTGTTTTCCAAGCCCAGTACTAAAATGATATTCCACGGTAAATGACAGGTGGGTGGCTAATGACAAGAAAAAGCAGTATGGTTAAAAGAAGAAATTAGAAACGGGACAAAAAGACGAGAGTGTAATACAAGCTGGCAATGCACACAAGAGACACAGAATATGCAAGCATGGAGTATGGGGCTGAACGGGTCCATAGGACTAAAATATCTAAGTTAGGGAGCCTATACCTGCCAATGAGAAGCGCGCGTGTCTGAGGGTTGATATTAATAACAGCAGTACACATGGACAGAGAGTAGAACTCAAGAGAGAGACAAATAAGGACAGGTCGTGGGGACACAGGGCAGAGCATGACAGGATGAGGGTGGTGGCGCCCAATGAGGGGCCAGAAGGGTACAAGAGGGGTCGAAGGGAAAGGTAAAGAGGTTCAGAGGGTACAGTGCCCCCAGACTCCAGAATAGTGTCATCTTCCTCTCCACAGCTGGTTGGTGTGTGCGAGGATTCACATCCGCACCCCGAAAAGCCCTCCCGGTGGCTCCGAGAAGACGGCGAGGTCACATCCCCGTCTCCCGGGGACTCTGCGAGGGGTCCTTACCTAGGAAGATGGAGATGATGAGCCGCAGCGCCTGTTCTGACGCGCCCAGGGACGTCGCCAACTTGTTAAGGCTCAGGTCTTGGAAATCCCACCGCAGCCCCCTCGTCAGCTCCGCTTCCATGTCCCCCTCGGCTGCGGACGCCATCTTAGCTCCGGGCGTCCCCCAGGGACCCCTCTGCTCGGCGCGCCCCGAATGTGGGCACAGCGCTTGAGCTTCACCCCCAATTCCGGCCCGGAGCCCGCCCACGGCGTGCGCATTGGCTGCAGACCCGCCCAGAGGCTCCGAACTCAGCCGGTCATTGGTCATCCCGGGCCGGGGGCGGGGCCTCACGCGGCAAGGTAGGCCGGGGGCGGGGCCTCATATTTGTAAGGCAAAGGTGACTCGGCCCGGGAAAGAACGCGGGGCAGGCTGGGGGCGGGGCTTGGAGCCGGGAACCAGACCCGCGATTGGAAAAGTAAGAAGCCGGCGGCGGAGGACTGTACAACTCAGTTCTAACAGCTCGGGGGAGGAGTCGAGGCGGGCGAGAGTCCGGCCGGCTCGTGCGCTGCCTCTCTATTGGCTGAGACGGAGCAGGCGAGAGTCGGGGCGGGGGGGGCTGTCACCCGACCGCGAGGTTACTCTCGGTCGCAGGCGCGCCGGGGTTACTGGGGCATGTAACAGGAGGGCGCGAATTCCTGCGGCGGCCTCGCGAGCGCCCCCTAACGGCGCCGCGGCTGTTCTTGAACCGTTAGACAGGCCGCCTTCCCTCCCAGACCGAGAGGACCACCCCGACGCCCCCAGCACTCTCTACCTGCTCCTTTGATTTCCTGTAACTTCCTATATTAAAACGTTGCTTCCTCCGAGAGGCGATGAAATTAAGCTACGCTGATTTAACTGTTCAGTCAGTCAGTCAGTTCAGTCTCTCAGTCGTGTCCGACTCTTTGCGACCCCATGAACCGCAGCACGCCAGGCCTCCCTGTCCATCACCAACTCCCGGAGTCCACCCAAACCCATGTCCATTGAGTCGGTGATGCCATCCAACCATCTCATCCTCTGTCGTGCCCTTCTCCTCCTGCCCTCAGTCTTTCCCAGCATCAGGGTCTTTTCCACTGAATCAGCTCTTCGCATCAGGTGGCCAAAGTATTGGAGTTTCAGCTTCAACATCAGTCCTTCCAATGAACACCCAGGCCTCATCTCCTTTAGGATGGACTGTTTGGATCTCCCTGCAGTCCAAGGGACTCTCAAGAGTCTTCTCCAACACCACAATTCAAAAGCATCAATTCTTTGGCGCTCAGCTTTCTTTATAGTCCAACTCTCACATCCATACATGACCATTGGAAAAACCATAGCCTTGACCAGACGGACCTTTGTTTGCAAAGTAATGTCTCTGCTTTTTAATATGATTTAACCATTAGCCTTTTCATTTAAAATTGAACTACTTTGTCACTAAGTAATACAGGTTCAATATCCAAGTGCAAAGAGGATAGAAACTGGAGAAAAAGTCCTTTTGTCCCACCTTTCTTTGCATTCTTACTTCCAGTCTTCAGTTCAGACTAACAAAAATGTGCCGAGGCCTGTGCTGGGCTCTGAGCCCAAAGCTATGGAGTGGAGATGGTGCACGGACATATAAGGTATTAATGACGTGTAATTAACTGCAAGGGAAGGCAAGTGCTCTGAAGGAAAAGAAGAATGTTCCATGAGAATATGTAACAAAGGAACACCAAGTTTTCAGTGATCACTGGAATTCGTGGAGCATTCTTGCCCAAGTGCAGCTTATACTTCTATAGCACTTTGCACTTTATGCAGCACTACGAGTCATATTATTTCACTTAATTGCTTATGAAACAGGTTATTTACAGACACAGAGGCTTGGAGAAATTAAGCAACCTGCAAAGTTCCTTCCCTAATAAGTGGCAGAGGCAGAATGGAAACCTAGGTATGTTAAAGTTCACCTCTCTCCTCTTCAAGGGGAGACAAAATGAAAGAAAACAAACAAACAAACAGAGAAGTCAAGAATAATATAACTTCCCCCTTACAGGGACTTCCTTGGTGGTCCAGTGGCTAAGAAGCTGCCCTCCCATTGCAGAGGACCCAGGTTCCATCCCCAGTCAGGGAGGTAGATCCTGGCTGCCACAACTAAAAGGTCCCATGTATCCCAATAAGAATAAAAGATCCTGTGAGCAAAAAAGACCTAGTGCAGTCAAAAAAACAAACGCGCACAGCTGAGTCTGGTGTATTCCTTCCTGTCCTTCAGAGGTCCTCTCCTTTGGTACTTATCAATCCCATGCCTACTTTTATACTTTATACAATGTGTATATCCAGAAACAATTGTAATACAGTTTTGCATGCTTTTAAACTTTATAATTGGCTGATTCATGTCAATGTATGGCAAAAACCACTACAATATTGTAATTAGCCTCCAACAAAAAAAAAAAGGAAAAAATAAATAAACTTTATAATTACAGCAGAATGTATCATTTTGCAACTTGTTTTTATGATTAACATCTTTATTGAGGCAGACTCATGTTTTTATAGGTAACTGTAATACAGTCATTTTAATTATGATGTAACATTGCCTGGTATGATTATGCCACTTTTTCATAATCATGTTGAGGAATACTTGGATTGTTTCCTATTGATGTATTTATTTTATTACAAACATTGCTGCTGTGGCCATTCTCCTTTAAGCAAGAGTGAAAGTTTCTCTAGGACTGTAACTCCAAAGTTTTTTTTTTTTTTATTAACTGGGATCTATTGCTCAGTGCTAAAGAATCCACCTGCCAATGCAGGAGATGCGGGTTTGATCCTGGGCTGGGAAGATCTCCTGGAGAAGGAAATGACAACCCACTCCAGTATTCTTGCCTGGGACATTCCATGGACAGAGGAGCCTGGTGTGCTGCAGCCCATGGGATCACATAAGAGTTGGACACAACTCAGCAACTAAACAACAACTACTGTAGGAAACATGTTGCTACCCAGTATACACATGTGTTCATACACTACATAACAGATATGTATAGTACTCACACTATATGCACACATCACATACTCCCTTGCTATGTATGTGTTCTCTGATACCTTCTGTTCTAATTCATTAAAAAAATAATCAGGATCCACTAACTTGATATCACTACTTGCTAGTAGTCCATGATTCTCAGTGTTAGAAACACCCCTTTAGGGATTATAACCAGGAGAGGAATCATGAGTGGTAAGGCTTGCTCACCTTCAATTCTACTAGATTTTGCCTAATTGAAGTGTTTGGCTAAATTTTAAGACCCTTAAAATCTTTGATTTTCTGAATAAGTAAAACATATTTGTTAAAGCATCCAGTCAGCTAGACCCTGTGTAAAAACAGGAGTCCATTTCTTCCTTATATCCAACTCAGTAATTTGTCTGCCCTTTCTCGCACCTCTGGTGTTCCAAGGCAAGGAACAATGTGGCAGGAGGCTGTGTCTCCCTTGACACAACAGGTGCCTGTTTACTTTCTCCCTCAGGTGCTTGATTGGCTGCATTCCCTTCATTCTTCCTACTGTTCCAGGGAAACACCTGTTCCTCTAATTACACAGGCTGATGAGCTGCTGATTGGGAGAAGATTGGGATTCTATGACCTCTTACTTTATAATTAAGCACATTCGTGGGAGGCTTAGTAAGTCAGGTTCTGTGCTGGGCCCTCGACGTAAAGATGGCTGAGACAGCCCCTGCCCACAGGAAGTTCTGTGTCGAGATAAGGAAAGATAATTAGAAACCAGAGTGGAAGTGTTTGTATAGAAATAAGCATAATGTATTAGTGAAATCCCTCATTTCTTATGACTTTTCCCCTGCGCCCCCCTTCCCTTTTTTCTTTATCAATTTCAGTATTTCCTTCTACTCCCTTTCCTCTGGCTCCTTGACCTCTATTATCTATAACTATCTGCAAGTCTTCCCATCTTAAAGTTAGTTAGCCGCTCAGGCTCAGTCGTGTCTGACTCTTTGCGACCCCATGGACTACATACAGCCTGCCAGACTTCTCTGTCCATGGGATTCTCCAGGCAAGAATACTGGAGTGGGTTGCCCTTTCCTCCTCCAGGGGATCTTCCCAACCCTGGGATTGAACCGGGGTCTCCCACATTGCAGGCAGATTCTTTACCCTCTGAGCTACCAGAGAAGCCCTCCCACCTTAAAACACCCTCCTTTTCCCTGAGGTATCTGCCCTCTTTTCCTTTCACTCCCTACCTACTTGTAGAGAACCTGTCTTTTTGGAGTTCACTCAATATCCGGGTATGGATTTACAATCTGTCAACCTTTGGCAGTAAGCTTGGGACCCTGTGACTAGTTATGGCTGATGGACTATATGCAGAAATGAAGGGTCATTTCCTGGCCAAGGAGTGAAGGATCAGGATGACTCCGAAATTTCTCTCTTCTCTTGATAGTAACACATACGGAGGACAAGTGTTCTGAGATGGAAGAAACCACCCAACCTGCTTCTTGCTCAACGTTTAGCTTGAATGAAAAATAAACATTTGTGAAGTCCAAAGATTTAAAGTTATTGCTTTAACTTGCCCGGACTAATACATGGGACTAATACACCAGTCTTTAACCCCATTAGAACTTGGTGTTCATTTATGAAACTATTCACTCAAAGACCAACTATTCCTTACTAGTTACGTGTACCTTCCCTCTGAAACTGAGCTGGACATTGTGGGGCTCCTGGCGTGGCGTGGTGGCCTTTCTGTCCCCCATTTCTTTTTTAAAAAATAATTTTATTTATTTATTTTCGGTGTGCAGGGTCTTTGTTGCTTTCAGGACTTTTCTCTAGTTGCAGCAAGCAGGGGCTACTGTCCAGTTGCAGTGGGCGTGCTTTTCATTGCGGTGGCTTCTTTCGCTGTGGAGCTCAGGCTATAGGGCACATGGGCTCAATAGTTGGTGCCTTCTGGGCTCTAGAGTGCAGGCTCAAGAAAAATTGTGGCACACGGGCTTCGTTGCTGATCTGGCAAGATCCCACATCGCTATGTGGGATCTTGCCAGATCAGCAATCGAATAGAAGGTCTCCTGCAGTGGCAGGCAGATTCTTTCCCACTGAGCCACCAGAGAAGCTCTGTCCCCCATCTCTTGTAGGTAAGACTCTAGCTTCCATGACCTTCCCTGAGTTCCAAAAGGTGGATTCAAACAATTTCTTGATTGAGGGAGAAGCAACTAAGGAAACAACCTGAGGCCAGATCAAACAGATCAGAGAAACTCACCAAGATTAGGAGACACACCACCTG